CTGATACAAGTAAAATGAGTTAAAATAGGACCTGTGCTGGTAATTAAACTACTTTTAAGAAATAATTCAGCTCAGGAAGGAATAATACTTATTTTGGCTTTTCAATTTATTTTGGTTTAAACAGATTCCTAATCAAATTAAGCTAACTTAGATCTTTAATTGTGCTTACGTGGTAAAGACAGCCTTTAGCGGGGGTACAGGAGCTCTCAGAGGAGGAGAGACAACAGCTAACCCAAGTCATTTTCACAAATGAACCGCAGAAATAGTCATGCAGGATAAAACCCGTAAGGTTAAGACAAGCTCTCCTCCACAAAAAAAGATTGAGAGAAAAAAAAGGAAATTAAAAAAAAAAATAGATTTCTGATAAGGTGCACATAGTACCTACCATTTTGTAGAGGACAAAGTGCACGGCTGTGCTCTGTTACAATAGAATGTCTATTAAGCACTGTACATTGCAAAGATCTTGGCACTGATCAACTTGAAACACCCCATGAATCACTGATGCTTCATGTTGCTGGGTGTTTTGCCTTTACTTTTGCTTGTTACAGTCCATAGGACCTTGGTATCAAATACAAGTGTTATTTTGGTTGGTGGATTTCTTCTGACGAATGATTTGACAAGCTTTCATCATTCTCCCTCCCATGTTGTTTTACTGAGGGGATGACCAGAGTTGGTGTGTTTTCCTGTTGAGGTCTTGGATAGCAATGCACCCTCCTTCCAGCGCTGAGGTGGTTGAGAACACACAGAAGGTGTTTGTATGAAAGACTCGAGGCTATAAACATGAAATAGTATTTCTTTTTTACTACCTGTACAACATGCTAGTCTTTGGATTTAATTCTAACCTCTCCTTTATTCACTATTGTGCTGGTTTCAGCTGAGATAGATTTAATTTTCTTCATAGTAGCTGGTACAGTGCTGTGTTTTGGATTTAGTATGAGGATAATGTTGATAACACACTGATGTTTTAGTTATTGCTAAGTAGTGCTTATCCTAATTCAGTTTTCCATGCTCTCTCTGCCAGCAAGCAGGTGCACAACAAGTTGGAAGGGAGCATGGCTGGAACAGCTGACACAAGCTAGAGAAAGGGATATGCCATACCATAGGACATCATGCTCAGTATATAAACTGGGAGGAATTGGCTGGGAAGGGCGATCGCTGCCCGGGCACTGGCTGGACATTGGTCAGTGGGTGATGAGCAGTTACACTGTCCATCACTTGTCTTTCTTGGGTTTATTTATCTCTTTTTATTATCACCCTTTTAACTACAATTATTACGATAATATTTTATTTAAATTATTAAACTGTTCATATCTCAACCCATGAGTTTTACTTTTTTTCCTGATCCTTCACTCCACGCTCCATCCCACCAGCAGGGCAGGGAGAAGTGAGTGAGTAGATGGGTGCTTAGTTGCCAGCTGGTGTTAAACCACAACAGCATCGTACTATTACAAAGCAACAGTCAATACGGATGAACGGCACTCCCATTGCCCATAATGTGAGATAAAAATTAGGCATTTAATATCCTGATGGCTGACCAGGGAGGTCCCAACTGATTGGAAATTGGCCAATGTGACACCCATCTATAAGAAGGGTTGGAAGGATGATCTGGGAAATTACAGGCCTGTCAGCTTGAGTTCAGTGCCCGGGAAGCTGATGGAGCAGCTCATCCTGAGTACCATCACACAACACATGAGGGACAAGCAGATGCTCAGGCCCAGTCAGCATGGGTTTATGAAAGGCAGGTCCTGCCTGACAAACCTGATCTCCTTCTATGAGAGAGCGACCTGCTTATTGGATGAGGGAAAGGTTGTGGATGTTGTTTACCTTGACTTTAGCAAGGCCTTTGACACCGTTTCCCACAGCATTCTCTTGGCAAAAATGGCTGCTCGAGGTTTGAACAATCGCACACTTTGCTGGGTAAAAAACTGGCTGGACGACCGGGCCCAGAGAGTTGTGGTGAACGGAGTTAAATCCAGTTGGGGGCCGGTCACGAGTGGTGTCCCCCAGGGCTCGGTGTTGGGGCCACTCCTGTTTAACATCTTTATTGATGATCTAGACGAGGGGATCGAGTGCACCCTCAGTCATTTTGCAGGTGACACCCAGTTGGGTGGGAGTGTTGATCTGCTCGAGGGCAGGGAGGCTCTGCAGAGAGACCTGGACAGGCTGGAGCCATGGGCTGAGCCCAACTGGAGGAGTTTCCATAAGGCCAAATGCCGGGGGCTGCCCTTGGGCCACAACAACCCCCAGCAGCGCTACAGGCTTGGGGAGGAGTGGCTGGAGAGCTGCCAGTCAGAGAGGGACCTGGGGGGGTTGATTGACAGCCGGCTGAACAGGAGCCAGCAGTGTGCCCAGGTGGCCAAGAAGGCCAATGGCATCCTGGCTTGTGTCAGCAATAGCGTGGCCAGCAGGGACAGGGAAGGGATCTGACCCCTGTACTCGGCACTGCTGAGGCCGCCCCTCGATTCCTGTGTTCAGTTTTGGGCCCCTCACTCCAAAAAGGACATTGAATGACTCGAGCGTGTCCAGAGAAGGGCAACGGAGCTGGTGCAGGGTCTGGAGCACAGGTCGTACGGGGAGCGGCTGAGGGAACTGTGGGTGTTTAGTCTGGAGAAGAGGAGGCTGAGGGGAGACCTCATCGCTCTCTACAGCTCCCTGAAAGGAGGGTGCAGAGAGCTGGGGATGAGCCTCTTTAGCCTAGTAGAAAGCGACAGGACAAGAGGTAATGGCCTCAAACTGCACCAGGCAAAGTTTAGACTGGATATTAGGAAGCATTTCATTACAGAATGGGTTGTTAAGCGTGGGAATGGGCTGCCCAGGGAGGTGGTGGAGTCCCCATCCCTGGAGGTGTTCAAGAGTAGGGTCGATTTAGAGCTTAAGGATATGCTGTAGGTGGGAACTGTGCTAAGAGAACGGTTGGACTGTATGATCTCCAGGGTCCTTTCCAGACTAGATGATTCTGTGATTCTGTATTTACTTGTGTACTACAAATTCTGCAAGAACAGCTAATAGATAGGGATTTCTATCAAACCATATAATTTAAGATGAAATTATCTAAATTGACATATTGTTTTATCTGAAACATTTCAATTTAGAAAAAAGTATATTAGACTTTTCATTGTCAAGTCTGTTACATGTGTGACTAATAAAGACCAACAAGTTGATACAAGAATTTACAATTTAAATAGCTGACATTAATCTTAAGAAGATTTATGAGAAAGCTGATTTGGAATGTTATATTACATAAATTAATAGTGACAGATTTTTATGGGTAGTACACTTAGGAAATGACTACAAAATAAACTAAGAGGTTGTAATATTCAAAGTTAAGCAATATAATTCAAACAAATTATTCTGTTATTTACTGGGAACCATATGTTCACATGTCACAACTTATTTAAGTATTTATTTTTTAGTCTATACTACTTGGCAACTAGTTTCTTAATAAAGGAGCTTGCAAGGTCAAAGGTGAAGAGTGATACCATGTTACCAGTACTCTGCAGTAGATAGGTAACTAGTTTAAATTATAAACAGTGCAATTTGTAGACAGTGCTGATTACCAGTTTTTGCATCAAACATACCAATATTTTTACTGAACATACTTTTCCTACTTAAGATGCTGGTAAAAATGTGCCTGTCAGAAAAATAAGCAAGGAAAAGACCTCAGTAAATTTTATTTTCTAGTTTATATACTAAAACCAGTTTTATAGCATTTAGATACTTGAAAATAAGATGTTAACCTTTTGAGTTACAGGTGCTCAGTATTTATGAAAATAAAGTCAGTTTATTTTTTCATAAAATAATCATAAATTGGAGCTTTTCCATTAAGAAGTATGTTTAACATTTTACAGAGCAACTACACAAATGCAATTTGTACCTGAAACAGCCTGCCACCCAGATACTGCTGAACTTGTTTTGAAGAAAATAATTGTATAAGTTTACAGAAATTGTACATCACAATACCTTAAAAAGACCAAGAAGTTAGAACAATGCAATAGAATGGCAGCGTTTATAAACCACTGTACCTGGATTGTTCCATAATATGAACTTGAAATCAATATTTTTAGTACAGGGTTCCCATTGCCTTACACTGACTGTACTCTGAGGGGAGCACCGAGTTTGGAAGGTGTGAGTTACGAGCTGCCATTAAGTAATTTGATAATACATTATTCTCTATGATAATGATATATCATTTTGATGGACCTTGCAAATATTTAAAGGAGGTTGTACATTAATAGATAAACAAGTGTGACACAAAATACTTCTCATACAAATCTTACTTTGTACCTGTTAAAAACAAAACCACAGATTGAAGAGGAATTTAACATTTAAGACACTTGCATATATTTTCCAAGCATGCTTAAAGGATTTAATGATATGTTCCATTTTCAACAAATTTTATCACTTGAATGGTGTGCTGTCTTAATTCATTTGAATCAGGATTAGTAACTGTTTATGATTTCAGCCTAGGTGTGAGGTAGACACAGTTTGAAATTCAATTAAAGTTACTGAAAGAAAGCAATACCTTAACTATGCATCTAAGCTTAATTACTGAGTTTCAATTACTTTTGAAAACCCAATTTAGATGTGCAAGTTTACACTGGCAGGTGTGAGTTGAGCATGATGGGCAATCTTATCCTTTTACCAAGGAAATGTAATAAGCAATCATGTAGATGTGGCAGCGTGGACCTCCTGCTGTCTGCAGAGGCATTTGGACTAGAGGAGCCTACGGGATCCATGCATCTGCAATGGTAGCACAGCTCCGGCTGACTACACCAGATCTAGCTCAGGCACACTCACCCACACTGAATGCACATCTTTTAATTGCACTGTAACATCATCAACTTCGCTTAGATATCAGAAAATGTCTTTCCACTTCCTTCCAGTGAATAATGATTCATTCAACTTTTAGATCCAAAGGATTCAACAAATAAATAAAAGCAAGATTACTTCTATTAGGGAAGTATTTTATTATAAAAAAACCTTAAAGATTTCACAAGAGCAACACTTAGACAAGTAATAAAAATGTAGAAACATTTCCCTGTATTTATAAATATGTAACTTGCATTTTCTTAGAAATTTTATTCACAGCTTAGTTTTTTGTTGAATCCAAACTACACTTGTTTCCTTACAACCATATGGAAGCTCTTGAGTTAGCTCACAGCTGAAATATGTAGTTTTCCATGGGACATATTTTATGCTGACTGACTGAATCTAAAAGAAATAAAAAAGCAGGATTATTTAAGATAAAATGCAAAAAAACCTCATTATAAAGCAACAATGTACTTCAGAGCAATTTCTGGTATAAAACTATTTGGTGGAGCTGAGAACCCAGAGAGAGAAAATTAATGCAGTGAAATGATAATACTGCAAGCACTTACCATTTACTTAAGTTTTAAAAAGGTGTGGCATTATCTACCTATATGCTTTTTATTGTGGTCAGCCTTGAGTGAATTAACTGGCAGCTGGTACTAACTGCAGAAAGCAGATAACCACGAACCAACTGGATAGCAACAGTGGTCAAAGATCAGACAAAACTTCAGACCCTGATTTATTTCATTAATATGGCAATCTTAAGGTGACACTGTTCATACTATTATGTAAACAGTTTCTGAGAAGGGGCTGAGCTTCGAAGGCCTGTATCCTTCCTTTAAAATATCATACTTTTTTTTCCCAAACTTTGATGATTCATCATTTAAAATCCATTAGCTGGAGCTTGCATAACTGTACCTTGTGAGCAGGACATAACAATTCGAAAAAGCACCATCAGACTGAAAAAGAGAACTGAGAAATTTGTAACGGGCACAAAGAATTCAGAGTCGTTTTTCATTAGCAGCCATATACACAAATCCTTCAGCCCACTGATGGGGAGTGTGGCCTGTCCAGCTGCAGGTAGCTTATGAGATATTGGGCCTGGGGTGAGGCAGAACTCCATGAGACCAGTAAAAGAGTGGGACATGCCACATGAGTTGCATGCCTCTTCAGATCATTACCTTTGTCCATCTGGAATTTATGACTGGAGTACTACTATGTGAAACTTTTGTGTTTAATTTACTACATCATATTTTTAGTCTTACATAAACCTCTGGTATCCTCATCTGGTCACTTCTTTTTGGCCACACTTGCTCTTTAAGTCTTCTTTAAAGCCAGAGAAAGACACAATAAACAATGCCTTGTTCTTATGCCTCTCTCTTAAATCGTCACAATTTTATCTTATACTTTAAGAAAGTATCGAATAACATTTGCATTTAGATTAGTATTTTTCCCTTATGGCTCACTTTTCCTTTCTTCTTCAGTGGTATTTTCTTTCAGGTTTTAAGTCATTATGATTTGATAGCATTAACAGTCAAGAGATTAGGACTTATTTGGCTAGTTTCATATAACATCAATTCACATTGTACATTTATTGCTAGAGTCTGAGCGAGGCACTATTTAGAGAAGTTTGACATACTCTGTGATGAAAATTTAACTTATTTTTTCTAGTATGCAGAAGGTCCCTTTTTGGAAAATACCCTTGTCTGAAAAAGAGAGTCAGACTGGAAGCTGTGAATCCTACATAGATTATCAAAAGCTTTTCTTTGAGGGTGAGGACATTGCAATTTTACATCTGATTCTCTCCAAACAGATAATAGTTAGAGCTGTGGTGTCCATCATGGAAAAGCAATGGACTAACAACTGTTAGAAACTTAACAGCAGAGTTTAAAAAGAAGCTTTTTGCAAGTGAAATAGAGACTGCAGAAAATTGTCTTTCAGATGTACAATATATAATTCAGGACAGATTATCAGATGGTTTTACCACATTTCAGTAGTTTTATGCCACTTTATGTATGCCACTTTATATATGCCACTAAGTGAAGCAATCATGGAAAAGAGAAATTTGAAAATATTTGGATGAAATTTTTTCGTGGTAAAATTACAGTGGTGAGTACTAGGACCATCATAAAGCAGTCTTAGTTGTAAGAGAAAGTCCTCACCGTGGAGACAACCTTCCTGAAAACTGTAGCAGTCTGTTCTATTTTCTTCCCTTCACAACCTCAGTTTAGTGAACTATTTACAGTCAATTTTGGAATAAATAGTCAACAATATTTTATATGAGTTGAAATTTAGTGTCTTACCTAATACTTATTTTTCTGATAAACACTTTATTTCCTGGTACTTCTTTCCTGTCTTTTTTTTTTTTTTTTTCCTGTACAGATTTTTGCCTCATGTAAAGCTTTACATATCTTCCCTCCTGACAACTGTGTAAGTTCAATTAGCTTTTTGCAGGGTGGCTAACTGGTAGGAGATACAAACATGACAGGCTGATTTGAAAAGAGATTCTGTTGGTATTTTCTTGTTGATAGGTGACGCTGAACTCTGCAGATCTGTATTTGAGGAACAAGGAAATTAACCAATGTGCTGCATTTCCATTCAGAGTAAAACTAATCCTTGTCTTCTTTAATTCAGAAAAAAAGAATTAGAGTAAATGAGTATGAATTCTACTTTTTCAGCCATAACAGAAACTCTTGGGTAAACTATACAATGATTTTGCTGATCAATACAATTCCCAAACCAGAGTTGAGACTTGTGTTATAGGTCAGATGGTTTACCTATAAAACTTCTTAAAGCACTTGACAGTATTATTTTTTACTGTAATCTGGCCATCACACAAGTATTAAAGGATACTGTAAATAATTACAGTCTTGCAGCACAAATACAAACCATGAAAGCCTTTACTGTAGATAATGCTCATCACTTTGTATTGGGAAGCTTTAAAAACATATCTAATTCAGGGTTTAAACTACTTTAGGACTTTTTCCCGTCTGTGCTTCACAGATACAAACTGCATTTTCTCTCAGATATATGAAGTGACACAAATGTACTAGAACTCAGAGAAAACAGTTTCATGTAAACTGGAATTTTTCATACAGATGATCAACACGAGCACATAGAGGAAAGGTCACTCTGTATGTATCTGGTTTATATGAGATGTCTGAATAGTGGAAGAAATTACTTGTTGAGTGGATTCATCCCTCCAGTCCTGGCACAAACCTGCTGTAAAACCTTAGGCACTTAAGAATTGAATGCAGTGATATATGTGCTTGGCAGATGTGCAGCCAAAGTCTTCAGCTGGTTTACAGGGCTTTATAAAACCAGGCATTTCTTTGGCATGTTCACAAATCTGTAGATAAAAGTCAAAGTGAATTGCCTTAGCACTTTGGATCAATTAGCTAGATGAAGCACCTGCAAAGTGTGAAGCCCATGCTAGGGTGAGACTTCATAGCTCAGTGGTTCTGTGCCACTGTCCTCTGCTACTCTTGGACAAGTCAATCCAAATCTGAATTTTGAGATCTTCTCCATCAATAAATACTTCAACTTTCTCTGATTGTTAATTTCTTGGCTGCTGTCCTGAGAATAAAATTAAGTTGATTCTTTGCGTTCTGAATTCAGCAAGTTATAAAGACCGTGACTACTATGGATAAAGCAGGTCAAAAGGACTCAAGCACAATCCAAGAAATACCCTTCATTTTCTGTTCTTCTGTGAATTTAGGTTTACAAATGACATGGCACCTAATCCTGTCTCATGGAAGCCAAACAGCTGCTAAAAAATTCTGTTGATCACGGTATCAAAGCAGAGTTATATCTCAGATTTTGGAGGAGCTAAACTCATTAAGTGTATCTGATGGCCCTACCTATACATGAGTTGGCATCCAATACTTTACACAAGTGCAGAAGATCTGTTTTTGGACTTGGTACAGTACTGCCTACCTCCATCTAAGCAGAATACTCTTCTATGAGGTGCAGGGCATCTTGATGTGATGAAAACCAGAAAACTAATCATTGTACATTTTTAATATATGGTGTAAGATTTGGAATTTGCTAGGAGTACCACTTGCTGATGTGTCTTGTGAGGTTTAGAGGCCACAATTGGTGCCCATTTAGGGACTATCTCAAGAACATAAACCACTTTGCAGTCTCTGATGTAGAGAACAGTGCTGTAATTTTGGTATTACTAGGACTGCAATAATTATTTTAATTAATTAAAAAACTGCGCAGTTGTGAAACTGTGAAAGTGCTTGTGGTAAGCAAGGTCATCAAATTAAAGAATGCACTATAGTACAAAATAACAATCTCTTCACATCAGTCTCAGAACAACCCCATGACAGATGCAATGCCATCTTAGTTGGTCTGACACAGAGCTCTCTGGAATTGTTTATTGGCACAAATCAGATGCAACTCATAGAATAAAGACAGTTACCAAGAGATTTTAAAGCTAGTTTATCTAAAATAAATTTAACTGAAAAAGGCAGAAGTTACACTGTTTTTGTCAACCTGGAACTCCAAAATTTTAAAGATGAACATTATTAGGTGGAGAAGCTTTTATCTTAAAAATGCAATAGGACTTGTGTTAGATAAAAGATACCAAATATAAATTGTTGCAATCTGCTATTTCACATATTTTAGGGAATATAATTTAAAAGAGCTAACTGTATTCCCAATTCCTCAAACATTTATCCTAAAAGGACTTATTAGCTGACACCGTAATGAAAACTCATTTGTATGATACAGCTTCCTATGGAAAGAATTAAATTAATATTAAATTAATATTACTTTAATAATGGATTAAATTAATATTAAAAGCAAATGTGTACACAGCTAATCATCAAATCAGGAAATCCACATTTTAAGGACCCAACAACACTCACCTCAGCCGATGTCCACAAATATCATGCTTTATTCTATGCATTTAGTACATATTAAGAGAACCCAGGAAAGAGAAATGCTGACATTCTATAGATATTTTCTTAAACTACCTTTAAAATTTCACCTATGTCCATTACCAGTGCATTTGAGAGGAGGACAGGGTAAGAACACAGTATATCTCAGTGATAATTGTCTAAAGAAGGCTTCAGCATGGAACATCATCTTTATGCTTCCTTCGTCTGTATCATCACCTCCACTGCTTTCCCGACAGGCTGTGCTTGGATTTGCTCAACCACACTGGGTCCACACACAGGTCTTAGAGACAGGAAAAAATTGAAGCATTTATGTTCAGAGCTCAGAGAGTAATCTGAAAGATTAACTTTGCTTTCTGGCCCACTAACCTGAAAGAAACACCACTAGCCAGTTGCTGAAAAGCTAGCTGACCACACAGGGTTTGGTGGTGGGATAAGAGGGCACAATCTAGCTCTTGCCCCTGAATTGACTCAGCTGCCTTTTGCAACATCAAAGCCTTCGTGGCACTCCAGGGGTGCTCACAGTCCTTTGAAACCATACACATTTCACGTAAGCTTTTGCAAATAAATAAATAATTCCTCAGCAGAGACCAAGCCTGGGAAAATATCAGACCCCAAAAGTGACTATTTCCACAAATTGTGTATGTATCAGTCAGTAGTTACGTTTACAATTGTGTCATTCCCTATTATAACGGACAGCATCAATTTTCCTTTCTAATTATATTTGTTAGCAGACGGACAGAGAACCAAACTGTTATAAAAGCATTTATTCACTCTTTTTGGTAAGATCCTCATTCTTTCACTAGCTGGATGAACAGCAGGAAGATACCTCTTCTATGTATGCATTTCTCATTAATGTTCCATTAATTTAGATGGTTGTTTGAACCTAAGTTTTGAAAGGAAAAAAAAAAAAAATCATTCTTGTCAGAAGTAAACTTGACAATGTATGATAAAGAAATAGAGCCTTTCTTCATTATAAAAAACCCCCACAAAAAAACATTTCACCAACTGTTGTCCCTCCTGTGACTGATTTTCAATCCCCACAAGGCAAAAGAGCATATAGTATAAAAAAGCCAAAACTTTGCAGCTTTTCCTAGAACTTTATGAAAGTAGCTCCAGCTGGGTAGGGTGTGGGAACAAGCACAAAACTCCATAAAAGTCCAAGGGTGTGATCTTTTCATGAGGCTCAGGAGATAGCCATCAAGTCCCACAGAGGTATTATCTCTGAGCGGATACCTGAATTTATGAAATGAATAATTCTGGATGTACTCGGGAAGTTTTCAGCATTGCAACTGCTAGTATCCTATATAGAGAACACAGTTTTCAGTGTATTTCCAGAAAATAACACATGATGTGCTGTAATTATATCTTGGTTATTGTTACTTGAAAAAATAATAAACACGTGTTATTAAATGCAAACAGCAGAAGATAAAATTGAAGACATAAGTTTGAAGAGAGAAGGTTGTATATTTTATGGTTTATATCTATCCCAAGGCCAAGTAATATTGCATTTGAAGTTGATGAGAAATTGCTCATTTTCACTAAAAAGAAAAGCATCTGACTGTTGAAATCTTCTGGATTACTTCACCACTCTGCAACTATTAAATGATAGAAAAACCATAAAATTGATAAAAACAAAAGCCCAAACTTTATGGTTTGATAATGTACAAATTTAACAAAAAGAGACACATAAAAGAGCATATTCATTTAACATAGTTGGGTGATGTTGCTGGGGAAATATTAAGCCTTAAGATTTTAACATTCATTTGATTTCAGTATGGATAAATACACTGGACAAGTAACGTTTATATTTTCAATTACTGTAATTCTGTACAAAAACCTCATGAAGAACGCACTCAAAACTACAACACTGTTAGGCAACATTACACTTGCATGGTCATATGCATTTTCAGACAGTCCGTCATTTAGTAAAAATGTAAAAGAAAAACACATATGTGGAACCCCATGTACGTGTAAAGATCAAGGGCTCATACACATCCACACAAGTGGAGAATCAGTCTGCTTCTGATAAAGAGGAGTGTATTGCAGTGTGCAGACTTCTGAAAGTACAGTTATCCTGCAGTGAGGAATTTGCAGAATCTGCAGGACCCTACAGGGATCAAGGAAGTTTGTGTTAACAGTGCAGTGTTCCTGCAGGACAAAGAAGAAATGTTCTCTTTTTCATCTTTCTAAATATCAGGTTTAATAGGAGAATAGAAGCAACTAACCAAACAGCAAATCTATTTTTGTAGGAACAATGTGTGATATATATTTTCTACTTAAATTGAAAGCTCATAATTTTAGTTTGATTTCTTATAATTTATTTTAGCAGTTAGCTGATTTTTTTAACACATTGAGAATACTAAAAGCTTTAAAAATTACACTGAAATGCTGTACTAGATAAATAAATTGGTGCTCTCCAGTATAAAAGAGCATGTTAAGAGCTGGAAACAACTTCCTTCAGCAACCTGTTTCACAAAGAAATAGATCCTCAGCCTTGAAGAATTTTACCTAGGTTAATGGAAATCACATGGATGCAGGACTCCAACTGGTTCAAGCTATACTACCATACTATTATCTTAACAACACCCAGAACTTTATTCCACTCTTTGCCATGAAATGCATTTGTTATTGCTGGCAATGTTTTT